AGGAAGGCCCAAATTGGTCTGCTCCCAAAGTATCAAGTACCCGCCATGGGCCATAGTACATAGGCAACAACTTTCGCAATATGTCTTGTTCATCAGTTAACTCTGATCTTTTCACCCAGACCCAGTGACCAGGCCGAATAGGAGAGGGAGATGCTCTATCATCCTTTTCTGAGCCTTGAATATGTTTGTTTTGGCTTTCTCTAGGTATTTCTCGTAACTCTTGGTGAACTCTGAAGTCCCTAGTGTGACGGGACTGAGGCAGAGCAGAGAGGCTGGAAGAGAGAGGGAGAGGGAGAGCACACACACATGCTCACTCAACTCGACGCAGACTCGACACAACTCGACGGACGCAGACACAAAATGGCAAAGTCGCAAAGTCGCAATGTTGGATTCTGAACACAATGTCACAGCAAGTCACACTGAAGCACAACTTGCTGCACAAGCACTGAGGCCGAAAAATGAATGCCCGAACTCAGCTTGAGCCCGGTCTTAAGTACCGGGCTCAAGTTGAGTCTGAGGGCAGAAGTGCAATTTGCCTCGGGGTTGAACTGAAAATTGAAGGTCCGAGCCTGGGCGCCAGAATGGCAGATGGCGTCAAGTATCGAAATCTGAAAGTGTCTGTGGAGGGATTTGAGAACGGGCGCCAACTGCAGAGGGCGCCAACAGTCAGGAACCGGAGATGAGAGACTCAAAAGTAAAATAGCAGCTTGGTGGGTGGTAACCCGCAGACGAGGGATCGAGCCCTGGCTGAGTCCGTAACACTATCCCCTCCCTCTGGAAGGCAACGTCCCGGCTGCCGAAGACCCAATGAACAACTGTGAAGGACGGGACGGGGCCGATCACTGGTCAGAAAAGGAAAGGGAGTAATGCAAGTAGCAGGGTAATCCTATGGAGGTTCTACAGGGGTGAGGGAATCAATGCTGAAGTAATCAGGGTAATCCTGTTAAGGTTCTACTGGGATGAGGGAATCAATGTGTAAATAACAGGGTAATCCTATTGAGGTTCTACAGGGATGAGGGAATCAATGCTCAAGTAATAGGGTAATCCTATTGAGGTTCTACAGGGTTATAGGTTTTCAGGTTTGAGAAAAAAGAAATGAAAAATTGTTTGTTCAATGCTCAAGTGCTAGGGTGTCTGAGGGGTCTGGGAAAACAACATCTCAGGTTTATAACAAAGTGTCAAAAGCAAAAAAATGTATTGAGGAAGGTCTTGGCGGGTGTCACAGAAGTGGTGGTGAGAAAGCAGTCTTCAATAGTTCTGTGATATAGACGGCGAGGGCTTTCAGTTTGATTGTCCCAGTAGCAGGTTGCGTTCGGTACACGATC